AACAAACGAAACGACACAGAAAACCACAACGACACCGTGACTTTCACACGTTTTTTTAAAAACATAAGGACAGCTCAATATGAGCTCAATATGAGCTCAATTTGTGCCTGCACTTCCAAATGGTTCCTTTTTTCTGCTTTGCGTTTTTTTTGGTTCAGAGTTCTGCCTTGACGTAGATGGTGTACTCATTCGTGGTGGGTCCGCGCAAGAAGCCAACCCACCTCCGATACAGGGCCATTCTCATTGGATTCTGAGCCAAGATGTTTCAACCATATGTGGCTATATGTGCCACCAAAATCTTTATTTTGACATTTTTATGACTAAGAGGCACCCTTTTTTCGGGCAAAGCCATGGCTTCACCAGGCATCACATGTGCCTTCCCGCCTGGCTGTGATATGATCACCTGCGAGAGCAGTCACTTCTTGCTGCCCCCACCTCATCACAAGACATTCACAAGACATTCACAAGACATTCACGCGTGAAATTCGGTAAATAGATGTAAATAGCGGACTGACTCACGCCTTCACTGATCTTTACTGATCCATGATCTGCATTGGTGCACATTTTCGCTCGACCAGTGAACTTAGTGCGCCAAGCAATGCCAAGCAGCTGGAAATGAATTTCACTGTCCACACGGGACAGCACAGGCCTTGGCAGGGCGGCTTGTGGGCGACTGGCAGATCTGATAAGCACAAACTCATATCATATACGTTGTATATATACGGTATATACGTTGTACATGTTGCTGGCATTACATACACACTGATGCTAAGCTGCTAATCCCTCTTGGCACCCACGTTCGTCTTGTTGTGTCATGTTCCTTTTACGTCAAGACTAGAACCTCTGCAAGATGACAATGACATTGACCTCTTGTTTTTCGGCCACTGTCCCAAATAGAAAGGGAAAGAAAAAGTCCAAATGGCAGGTCATGCAAGAAAGCTCTGCATTTTTCTCAGCTGCTCCTCACGAGTCCAATTCCTTGCTGCGCACCGTAACTCGTTTTGCAATTGTGCTGTGTTCAAAAGTGCCGCAACGTTGACCGCACTAAAGTTGAAGCAGTTTGAAGCGCCCCCGGGGTCAAACATGCTCAAACTTGGGCAATTCAAGCTTGAATCAGAAGTTCAAAGTCTGCCTTGAACTGAACCACTTCAATTACAGGATTCTGGATGTTCAAGGATTTTGGAGCTCCTATGGGCCATTAGTAACGCTACATGACTTTGCCATGCGAGGATTGGAAGCTATGAGGATTCTACAGGACCTCAGACTCAAAGTGAAAAAAGATGATGCCAAAACAATGCAAAGGAGGCACTTGGTTCAATTGCATTTTTTGGCTCGTTTCTGTCCAAGATGCGGCAAACTTCTTTGTACTGTAGTACTTACACTGAAGTCTTGGTTGGCTGTGCTGTTTTTGAGAGGTGGAGCGCTCGAAATGTCAGCAGTGTTGCAGACACCATTCAGTTGTTTCAGTCTTGTAAATAATTCACATCCATTCTGACAAAACATGAAAAAGGGAACAAAAATGGGGATTGCGTTCAGGAATGCGTCCATGTCGTACAATGTAAGTACGGTACACCATCACGATTTGGCCTTTGGCATCCCCCGAAGTATCGGGTGAAATCACTCGGAGTTTTGTGCAGGCGCTTGTTCGTAAACTGGTGTGTCTCAGAGGTGAAACACATGGTGTCCCACATATCTCCGTGTGATTGTGTAGAATATGTATATAGTTATTTTAAAGACAATTGTAAATTATAAATTATAGACTCAGACTAGATATGACTAGATTTGATTTTTGGGCTTACAAAGATGTCGATATGGCCAGCACATTAATGCTGATTGAATCATAGATCCTTCGAAAACTCTGAGGATTCCGCAGGCCATAGAACCAATTGTTATCCCAATACCTGGCAGGCCGAAACAACCCCGAGCTGTCGAAGATGTCTCCTGTTTTTCAAACAGGCAAAGATCACTGGCCCCACAGGCCTCAGTGTTACAGTTACTCAGTTACGACTGCTGCAGCTGAAAGCTGAAAGATGCTGAAAGCAACCTGAGTTTCTGGCCATTGGGAAAAATGGTGTAAACCATCAGGGAGTAGATCCCTGTCTTGTCCCCTGTGTAGTACAAACCTAGCATAGCGAAGCAAATCTGAAAAGCCTCAACTTCTGTAGCGAAGCACTGTCAACCACGGTGTCAAATTGCTCGACCTCTACCTGGATTGACCTCATCTGTAAGAATTCTGTAAGATATTCATGATATGTTCATAAAATAATACAAAATATCGTCATTTATTTTCATGTTTCCATATTTTCCCAATCTTCAAATCTTTTGAATCTCTCTATCCTTTCATTCTTTCTATATCTTTCTATCCCGTCTAAGTTCTAGGGATCCGATCTGTAAGTTCCATCCCCGTTCGGCGTGGTCACGTGGCAGCAATCCGGGGTCCTACACGCTGCGGAAACGGCGCGGAAACGACAGCGGTCACCAGTCACCACCGGTCACCATGGGTCACTGCTCCTCTTCACACGCTGCCGGTGGTCCTGAACCATCTGAACCACGCTCATAAAAGTTCTCCATGTGTTGATTATGCGAAAGTCAATGAGTCAATGATCTTTAATGCCCTTTGCAACATCTTGAGGACATAGGTGGACAGTTTACATATGTTTAGATATGTTTGCATGATGTTCAAAGTGCATCCCTCATCCCAACCCAAAACGGACTTGTGTCGTGTCGTGCCTGATAGTCTGGATGATGCTCTGGTACAGGCAGGCAGAGTGAACGCATCACATTGAGTTCACAAGCCTTGGGCCGCAGGAAAGACATCTCAGATTCTGCCAAGGATGGAGAGGGAGAAGACAAGGCAGCTGGGACACAGTACAAAAAATCGGCTTTCCATAAATAGCTTGGTTTATCATGGAAAATCCCAACTATAAATGGATGATAACATATGATAACTGGGGGTACTCCCCGTTTCAAACCTCCAGTGATCACCTCCGCATTCCGCGGTTCATGGTGGCACTGCTGGGACCCGACGTCATAGATCGCCGCCAAGTAGTTCCGGTGTGTGCTGCCTTCCTGTGTGACACAGCTATTGCAGCTATAGCAGATAGGCAGCATACATCAGAAAACCTATACTCTGGTTATTTATATAACATAGCCATGGAAAGATCCACCCATTTTTAATAGGTAAACCCAGGTAACCCCAGGTAAACCATCTATTTCTATGGGCCATCTATACCATGGCTATGTTAGTCATGACCCGTTCAACTTAAGGAGAAAAAATGTCTGGTGGCCTCGAGCCGCTCAGTCACTGGGTTCTTCGCACGGATGACCAGTTCTGTCCTCGAGACGTGACCAGTGGTGCTACCAGGCGCTCCCAATGTATCTCTAAACTTACGCATCACCCAATGGATTTGGGGAAAAGGCTGGGGAAAGGCGGGAAAAGGATGGAAAAGGCAGAATCTATCAGAATCTACTACAATGTAAAACTCACATAAGATACATAAGGACATAAATGATCTACAATGTACAGTAGCACATAAGGCGAACCAAGCAGAGCCAAGCCGAGGCTCCTTGCAAGTCACTGAGACTACAGAGCGCTGTCGAACTAAGTTCGCCGCGGGATGTCTGCCACAATGGCATCTGGAATGGGATCTTTGGGTATCGACGGATCCGTGGCAAGGGGATAAAAAAAGGTTTTCCTTGGCCGTCGATGTCGATGTCAAAGATGTCAAAGCAGAGAAAATATGACCATGGTATGACTGGTATGACCTCTTGGGAAACACCTGCACTTCGAGCTCTTGTCATTTCATGTCTGGAGTTGCCTGAGTTGCCTAGAGTGGAGATGCTTTCAGAAATGTCTGAAAACTCGGCATGCAAACAGCATCTACTGAGATACGCTGTTGAGATTGCTATGATTTGTGCCGCATGGATCCGAATCCGAAGGTCTCCCGTCTTCTCCCGTCTCCTGAGTTCTCCTAAGATTCGGACTCCAAGGGCTCTGCAACAGTGTAGGCCTCGGTGTCCCGTTTCGTGACGCCGTGACGCCGTGACGGCTTGCGGCGCTTGCTTTCTGATCTTTCTGGTGTCGTTTCATGATGAGAGCCACAACTTTCGGTGGTGAACCGGTGAAGCGTTTCTTTGAAATATGTCAGTGGGGTCACCTTGAGTCAGGTTGTTCTGTGGTCACGACCTTCCAACGAACAGCTGTACAACGACGCGTTGAATGCTGGGCACACAGCTGTGGAGATTGGCTTGCTGCGGCCAATCGCGTTGATGGCATACCTTGAGGCAAGATATGGTGGCGCAGAGCCAACATGTCAAGCACTTGCCCAAGATTTCACCAGTTATACCAGTTACATCTAGAACATTTAGATATCATTTCGATACTAAAAAATGAAAAGAAATAATATATTCTCTCACACGATGAGAAATAGTGTTGAGAACCACTGGTAACCGGGTAGGACCCGGTTCCAGCCCGTTAGGAGAAGTGGGAAACATCAGTCTCGTCTGAGGCAGCGTGCACGTTGTAGAAGTATGTAGTTCCATAAGTCAGGTTCTCCAGGACCAAACTGAGACACGCAGTGGAATGGGAAGAGATTTGCCAACGATGTCCACAGTCCACAGATGTCCACAGGTGTGCACCTGGTCATGTGTTCACAAGGTTTGCCATCAGTGGCGAAGCGCGATCTAAAAGCGTCCGTCGTGTGCCGAGTGCGGAGCTGTTTCACATTTGGATCCAAAGAGCCATCATAGATGGTGGTCCAGCCAGGGTTTACATCGGTTTCCTGACAAGCTCCAACGACGCTGAAGCAAAAGAATGCTCCGTCAGCGAACAGCTCTGATGGGGTAGCAACATGTAGCAACTCAGTCCCAGACCATTTCCACCTGATAGCCCAGGATTGCACTTCCACCTGTCATAGGCTCCTCAAAGTCACAAGTTGGAAGTCACGTCCAGAATCCAAACGGAATTCGTTTGGCAATTCGAAGGAATCACGGACAGTTCCAACTCCAACAAAGCTCCCTCTCGACGTCTTACGAGTTGGACTCGGTGACTGAGTTGGACCTGTGTCACCCTATGGCGGAGAATGGCGGATCGCAGCGTCCTCCCATGACAATCTCATGACGATGGATCCGAGAGAAGTCGTCTCTGGAATAGCCTTGGAACGGCTCGAGCTGGAAACCCCAATGAATCGACATTTCCTGGGAAACTCTACGAGACGCATCGAGTGGGCTGGAAAAACTGGGAGTCTTAGTCTGGCTGAGAGCAAAGAAGTTTTTCAGTGTCTGCGTGTAGAGTATGTGCTTGGATATGATACATTGGTTCTCATGTGATTGTATTTTGAGTATGAAATCAAATAAGATCATGCAAGCTCATACGAAATCATGCGAAATCATGCGTCCGTAGCTCACATCCAAGTTGCAAGTTGCCAGTCAGGTAGGCCAGCTGTCACGAAGGTAATAGGACGACTGCCTCATGTTCAACGACAGGGAGCATCACGTCACTACACATCTGAGTCATCTGTGCCTTGACCCAAGGATTTCCCTTTCAACTCAGAAGAAAATACTGACATGCTAATCCGATTAATCCGAAAAAGAATCCGCAGTTTCGCAGTAAACTTTCAGCCGTTCCTTCACTCATTGCTCGTAAGTGTCACACGTTGGCCGTGGAATTCAAACCACAGCCCGGTGACAGGATCCCTGGCTGCAAGATGCTATCGGATACAAAACGTGCCATTGGGAGGCGTCTGTGCAGGTAAATTTGGAAAAGAATAAAAACTGCCAAGGTCAGAAACAGCTTTTTCTTCGGTTCTTGAGTCTTCTTGTTCGTCTGGTTAGTTTTGTTCCAAATTCAACCTCTCTGATCTCTCTGCTCGGAGTAATCTGTAGATCGAGGATCAAGGAAGCAGTGGGCGATAGACTTCGCGCCTGATCCTTTGAACGATGTGCATCGTAAATGCATATTGTGCATCCACCTGCAAGCCTCAGGAGCAACAATATTGTGTCTACATTGGGTTTTCATTGTTTTCTGTTCAATAAATAATAAATTTGCTTTTGGATGCTTTTGGTATCTTTTAACCTTTTGTTTTTTTGCTTTTTGCTCTGTTAAAAAGTTTGATCCGATCACTTGGTGCTCCGCCTGGCAACCTGACAATGCTGACCTCGGTGAAAAAAATGCTTCACACCTGCTGCGTGTGGATCGTGCATCAGATCACTTGGTGCGACACGCAAGAGCCCCGGAAGCAGGAGATGCTTGGCTCGAGGTCATCCGCATCATTGCGGAAAACCTGACAAAAGAATACAGACATCAAAACAGACGACATACGACATCAAAAAAGACTGCAGAAAAGACTGCACTGCCAGGTTGTCAATGTTTTTGGGATGAATTCCAGTGACACAATGTGACACTTTTGGGATGTCCTCCATTCTCCAAGTCTCGATATCTCTCAGTGTCGAAACCTTTCGCACCTTTCTAAACTCGTACTTGTTCAGTGAAATCTGACCCTACGGGTGTTGTACGAGCCAGCAAGGCCTCACATTCTGCTTCGAGATCTATTGTGGCCAGAACCTGAGAGTCTGATTCAGACGGTGCCAAAAAGCACCATGTGTTACAAATGTCTTTTTTTCCCATGGGTTTTTCCATGTTTAAACATGTTGTGCTAACGGTTTCCAGGTACCTGTAGCACTCGTCTTGGCTCGGTACCAACTCAAGCTCCAGGTAACCTGCTGTGGAAGTAAGACGCGCTGGAGGGAATGCCTGCCGATTCAAAGTCAATCGAGATGCCGAGAGCGCCGAGACGCATAGAAAAAGCAGAGAAAATCTTCAGAGTCGTTCAGTATTTTGTCAGACATCAGAGCTCTTGAGGCAAAAAAGTCTCCAAAATTACTCAGAATGTTTCCAGGATGTTCGAGTTTTGCGAAACGATGAGAAACGTATTGAATTGCAACAAAAAATCTGACCTGAGGGATAGCAGGAATTGCCACAGAGCTTGGCACAGGAGTACCGAAGGCATCAACCTCAGCAAAAATTGACAAAAAATTGCACTAAAATTGGCTTCAACGTGTTTCAACCGACGTTCTGCACCAATTGGTACCACACGTTGACGGCCGTTAACGACTTTAAAAAGTGTGGTACCAAGGTACGGTACCTTCAATAAGTTCTTAAGGATGTGGCAGGAGATGCAGCACGCCGAGGTGTTGCCTGGAGATGGTGCGTTTCGATCTTTTCGATTTTCTTCCGAGTCCTTTTCGACCTGTCTTTTTTGACTCTTGATATGTCTTGATATGTCTTGATATGTCTTGATATGTCTTGACACCATGTTCCCAAAGTAAAATAAGTAAATCCTTCGGCGAAAGTGTGCTGGCACTTTTGCCTCTGACAGGCGCTTCTCGGACTGTGATACCTAGCCGAGCCAAAAAAGTAAACAAAGTCTAAACATGTGACGAGTTTGCGGATGTTGTGACACTGAGGTTGTGAAAGAAGTGCATCCAGGTAACAAGGTGTAACAATTATATATATATATATCTTAAGATATTGCAAAGCTGACCAATGAAATGCTACGTACTTCCTTTTGGACATGTATCATTCCCATTAGAAGAAACTGGGAGAGACTTGGAAACCACGTCGTGGCGGCGATTCAAAATGCAACTCTGGAAAGGATCTGTGATCTCGCATGTCATTGTTTTTGATTTGGTGAAGTCTCACAATATCTCACAATTCTGAACCATGTGCAAGATGAGTCTCTATTAGAACACACCTGCCGCTGGAGAACATGTCTTGAAATGCATGTGTAGACACTGTAGCCATGTGTGCTTTGTTCCCCTCACTTGGCCTCTATAAGGAGCAGAATCACCTGAGCCAATAAGAAGGGCAAACAAAACAAACAATACAAACAAGAACATGCAGTAGAATCAGATTTTGTGGAAATTGAAAGAGGTTTGCTCAGTTTGATCCAGTCTCTCCTATGGATTTTCCTGCTGTCAAACAAGACTATGCTGGGGTTCGCGCAAACCTCAACAGCCACATGACTGAGTAAATTTCCCAACACACCTTGGGTGCAGCACCCCAATCCAGACCGTTTCGAAATATTGGAAAAAGTTCGACTTCGTGAAAGCAGAGCAAATTGGCAGGAGATTCAAGCATCGATGGTCAAGCACATTTATGAAATTGTTGCGTTACAAATAGCGAAGCCCAACGGAGTCTTTTGCACCCTTCATGTGTCATGTTACCGTTTTTCTGGTCCTTTATTTCATACATCAAATTCACGCAGTTTCCGCATGTCTTTATTTCTTGCTCTCAGGTTCTTACCGCTCCATGGCCACTCCACGCATCTTCGTTTTTCACTCTCGAGCTCAAAATGCAGGAAAATGCAGGAAAAACAGGTGGAAAAACAGGTGGAATGACGCTTGGAAAATGTTCCTCTTTTTGATTCACCTTCTCCCTCGGGTTCTCGTTCGAATTCCTCAGATTTCGAGTCTCAGGAATGGAGACACCAAACACGAAAGTCAGTTCAACTTCAAAATTGCTTTGGTTTGGAACTCCTGGATTCTCTGATGCACAGAACTTGGCTGTCTTTCACGCATTCCATTCCAACAGAAGTAACGATGTTTCTGCTATCATTGGACATCATAATCTGCTGCCGGAAATGATGCTGGCTTGACGATACCCTCACATACCCTCACTCTCAACTGCTGAATTCTATTAGTATTGGATGACAAAAATATAGGCCGTTGTAAAAACTCCTTCTCTTTGCTAAACTCCCGAAAAACATGGGTGTCACTCTTGGGGCGGTGCCCTATCGCCATCCAGGGTTTTGTAAAAAAAAAAGAAAGAGGAACTGAAAAGGAAAGGAAAAGGAAAGAAAGAGCAGAAAAAAAGGTAAAAAAAAAGGTAAAAAAAAAAGGAAAGAAAGAGGAAAAACGTGGAAAGAGAGAGGAAAGAAAGAAAAAGGAAGAGCGAGCAGCGCCCCTCTTTCCCAAGAGAACAACGATTCAAAAGAATTCAAGAGGTTTGTCAACTGCTGCGTGGAGCAAAACAACAGAGGAAAGCTCTCCCAGTGCACAGTGCAGCTCAGTTGCTCTTCATATTGTCCCCAAGTATGTACTGTACATGATTTTCAAAGCACAACTTTGCAGATTTCAAAACCGCGAGTTTCGCGTATAACTTTCTCGGACTTTCAAAATGCTGAAAAATGACAGTTCTTCGTTTCTTCTGGCCTCCGATGTGCTATTTTGTAGCCTTCAAGGGCACCGGAAACCAAATCACTCCTTCACTATATCCATCAGTTTCTATATCTGTATCTATATCTACATCCATATCCATATCTCTATCTATATACATTTGTTAATCATAGATATAGCTACATCCATATCTTTATCTATATCCATCTATATTCATTGGTATACAAATATAGATCCGTTTATTTATTATAGATATTCACGATATATCATCGTATATGTTTTATGTTTTTTATGTGCACTCTATTTGCAAAAAAAATCTGGAGCCAGAAACCTAAACAAAACTCCTCGGGTCGCTTTGGTCTCCAATTTGATCCCTCTTTTTCACCCAAGGCTCTTTGGCCCGCTCATGTCATGACTTTGTGACGACTCGAAATCAGGATTCTGAACACGTCACAAACCACAAACACGTGGTGGAAGTTTGAAGTATAAGTACAGTAATATGGTCTAGACATGCCTAGATTTGTCAAGATTCTAGCCCTCCGAGGAGCATGGTACTCAGTTCCAAGGCATAATTCGATGCTTCCTCACAGCCAGTGTGAAACGGCGGATCAGCTGCTCTGGCACTTGTGATCCCATGGTTCTACTGGGCATATGTCAAGAACAAACTTGAAAGCAGCATGAAGGCCAGCAAAGGTACCTCTTGTACTTTGATAAAAAAAAATCAACCTGCACCTCTGACTACCGTTGTAACAAGAAGGCAATGACTTGTATCTGTTCAGCCCACACTTTGTCATTCAATGTTTGGAACCATTGCAAGCGAAGGGCAATTGCTTGTGCCATAGTTTGTGGAAAATGCCATAGCTTGAGCCAAATCTGTGCCAGGGTTTCGCCGGAATCAAAAACAACAAGTCTCAACAAGTCGGGTTTCCGGCAACAAAAGAACTGAATGTGCGGAATGAACTCTATGGAAATGAGTTCTATCACTAAAAATGTCACCACGACCAAAATGCTCAAAAACCATTTGTATTGGACGTGGCACAAAATATCAAACATGTTAACAACATCAAATTTTGCAACACTGTCGTTGAAACACAGTCCAATTCACCTGTGCCGCATTTTTCATGTAAATTCCAGGTTCACAATGTAGCCGAATTCTCCAATGTTTCCGACGTTTCCAGGTTCAGGAAATACGAGTTCATCTCCATGAAAGATTGCAACTGTGCCTCTCTTCGGAAGGCGAATACCATTCAAAAAAGTTCCATTCGTTGACAAATCTAAAATGTACAGAGTTCCTTTCTCGACGTCTAATTCCAACTGCGCATGTGTTCTGGAAATCAATTGGCCTTTCAACACGATGTCGTTGGAAGTGTGTGAACCCAGCATCAGTCGAGGTGTGCCGGCCGAAAGCTGAAAAGAACTTTGGCGCAGTGACGGTACCGTCGGAGACAATAAAAGTTTTGCAGAAACACAAGTCTGTTGCGACAAGAGACCTTGCACTTTTGCTTCGGAAATCCCCCAGTTGCAGTGTGTGATGGCTCGTCGCAAAATTTGTTCAGCTTTCTCAACTTGACTGGCCGTCCCAGAAATCTTTGCATGAGACAGTTCAGCATCCCAATCGAGTTCACTTATCCCGGTGGACTGCAACAACAATTGCCGCGTTTTCGGTGTCATGAAATGTTTGAGCTGCTGTTTTGGCACTTGGACAACTCGCAACACTTGGCCGAAATCTAAATTTGAGAAATTCATCTCTTCTGTCGGAGGTGCTCCAGCACGTAGTTCATTAGCATCATGTGAAAATCGGCACTGGTCGCCCCACAAACAATCATTTTTCAAGAAGTGAGTGCACAGCCTGGCACATCTTGGGTTGGACAATTCTTTGACGACTCCAATCAATGCTGCTGTTTCTTCGAAACTCCGGGGCGTTTTTCTGCGGCTGCTTGAAGTCCTCGTGTTTGGTATGGATCCAGTTGATCCAGTTCCATCTTCAAAACCACGTCTTGGCGAACGGGACATCAAAGAGCTCAAAGATTCACCATGGCCATCTCGTGCTCATGCAGAGTCACTATGGTGCAATGTTTAGGTTGTCTATGCAATTTCACAAATGCAATTGCAATGCAATTTTCATGGAAAAATGCAAAATTCCACCATCAATTTCATCACATGTTGGCAACATGGTGGGACAAATGCCACAGTTTCCCCCGAAAACCAATGCTTGGAATGGCCACACGATGCCACACGACTGCAATTTGGAACCTGACAAAACATGGCCACCTTAAAATCAGTCCAACATTTCCCGCTACAACAATGTGTAAAGTGTAACTACTGCCCGGTTTCTCCATGCATCAGGCAAAACATTGATTGTCTAAACCATTGAGAATGGACAAACGTCACAAAACAAAAAGTCTACAAAACAGCGCGAATCCACGTCCAACAAACCGGAAAAAAATTGGAAAATGGCAACATCTGCATACTAAGGCCATTGAGCTGATTTCGGTTTACGGATGAACTTTTTGCATATAGCAAAAACCTATTTAGCTATATTCCTATAGATTTCATTTATTTGATTTATTTGTATAAAAATCACCTCGAAAAAAACTAAAACTCCGGAAACCATCGCCCCTCAAGGCATTTCAAAAAACACACATGGGCAACATTTTTCCCACCAAAATTCGACTTAAATGATGACCCAAACATGGGAAGAAGAACACAAAGTTGGCGATACTCAAGGGTTTGGGTTGGAAACATATAGGGCCTGAACGGAAACCTCCGAGAAAAACAACATTTGTCATTTGGAGTTACGACTACAGGTTTGTGCGAAGTAAAATGGTGTATGTAAGAATCGGGATGTTTTTTACTATGTACAAACAAATAAACAGCATTTGTTACAATTTTCGACCTGATGCGGTTCAATATTGTACAGCATTGTTCAGTCCAGCTCGTCTGTTTTCTGGGAGGTCAAGCTCACATCAGGCTTGCATGCTCCAACATCTAGTTTAGTCCTCCTATGTGTTTCTTTCTGCTCGAAACTCAAAATCTATGTGAGTTGTTGGTGGTGTTTGTGGTTTTGTAATTCGCAGCGCGCTCTCCATGATCTATATATGTTAGTGGTATATTAGTGGTTTCCCACATATTTTGCCTCTTGGCAAGTCCATATGACAACCTATGTTAGTGGTTTTTGTATGGATTTTGCATTTAATTCTCCACATCCGTTTTAGTAGCCTGAATGAACATTTAATGTTTGGTGAATCTGCCTGGGCTTTGTTTGGTCTATGTTATTGGTCAATCGTTGCAGGAGCTATGTCAGTGATCCTTTGCATGTTCGTGGTTATACACGTTGTGTCTGATTTGGTATGATATTGAAGGTCTATGTTATTGATTCAAACGGGTTTTGCGTCTTGCAGCTCAATCCACAGGGTCTCTGTTTGCGGTATTCATGATGTTTTTTTCTCAACTCCAAATGGGAGTCTATGTTAGTGGTTTTCTATGGGCCTGTATTTTCCACGCTTCAATGTCGAGGTCTATGTTAGCAATTTTGGATGAACCTACACTACCTAAAACTATATAACGATCACCTGGAGGAACAAATTCAAAATTTTAACGAAACTCATCACCCGGCAATTGATATCCATGTTAGGTCCAAAGCACCGCGGACACAATGCAAACCCAGAAAAATAGAACTGACATAGATCCAGAGGTTCTACAATCATGTTTGTGTTCTAGTTGGAGCCCCTGTGCACTGCGCACTCTGGAACTGAACGCTCACACTAACATAGACCTTGAAATACAGTAGCTCTTGGCAACATGCTAGATTGAAATGAAGGACTAATATATTGAAACTTTTCCTTGACCCAAAAGCGTCTGGAATGTACACTTCAGATTTGTGCGTGTTGCACATCAACTGCATCACAACTACATGTCTGTATATATGCTATTGGAGCTGGAATACCGCAGGAGTAAACTAGTTTCACCCCGCCTTGGCATAGTTTTATGAACTGATGCCACAAAACAAAAGGAAAATGGTTAGGATGTCAAATGGCTACGACTGCATGGGGACGGCATTGCGTTGCCACGACTTGTCTTTGTCTCTTCGAGACATGCCAAACTGATTCATCCAAGAAACACTCTAATTTCCTCAAGGTAAGTTTCTGGGCTACCTGAGATCCAAGTTACCCTCAGGCCTGCCCTCACATTTGAGCGCAATGCCAGCAGCTATCTGGCTGGCTTTGCACACTTCCATTTCTGTCTCAAGGGTCCTCTTCATCAGTGAACTCGCCATAGTGGAGACTCGCCCATAAATCAGGATCATATACTTCGTCCTGAGTGCTTTGATAGTATCTTCTTCTGGCTTCTGATGCGGTCTCCATCTCAGCATCAGATTCTCGTTCTTCCTCACTTTCTTCACCATAAGATTCATTTCTGATAAGGGCGTCTGCCACCATGTTTGCATATCGACCTCTTGCAGTTTGACCACGCAGCATCATAAACAAATTGTGGGCAAGCTGCGCGTCTCCCAAAGATGTGGGCCGATTGCCACGAAAATTCGGGGAATCTTCGTCTTCACTGATGTCTGCCATCTCAGCCATGTTACGCATCGCAGATGCTCTGAAAAGTGGATTGGTCAGAGCACTTTGAAGACTGCGGAGAATTGCAATGCGCTCCAAATACTGGTTCCTTTTGCGAATCTCCAAATTTGGATTTTCAAGGCGTCGATGGCATCTGATGATCAGCCAGTTCAGAAAGCCTTCTGGTGTTGGCATGTCACTTGAACTCCTCGGGATTGCAAATGCCAATTGATGTTCAGCATCGTCTGGAATGGAACTGGTCAAAGCTGTTGTTCCATCAGTCGCTTCCTCATCGACTTCTTCATTCAAGACTGGTTCTCCAACGGAGTCATAGGTTGCCACTTCAGGTTCTGGTTCTTCCTGAAGAGCTTCATGCTGTGGCACGTTCTGCAAGGTCATGCAAAACATCATGAAGAGAAAACCAAACAAAACTGTAAAAACCACGACAGCGGCTGGAGGTGCTGTGGGTTCAAACTCATCGCATCCTTTCAACTGACCAAGGCCCAAGACGCTTAAGAGTGCTAAGACATGCTGCTTCTTGTTGAAGAAATTGCTGGAGTCAGCTGTTCCCTCAAGTTCCTTTGCAGTTGTGTTGTACATGCCCAAAGTATGCATCAGTGTTCTCAAACGATTGCATGGGAGCCGCTTCGTCCCAATGTCAGCTGGGTTCAAAGATCCTGCAATGCTGGATAGCTTGATTTGTCCAGCTGCCACCAAATCTTGAAGCCATAGGACACGGCAAGAAAGGTGTCTGACTCTACCCACTCCCTGGCGCTGAATCATGCCTCTTGCTCCAGAAGAGTCTGTGTATAGGTAGGTTGTCACCTTGCAGTCGGTCATCCATGCAATGAGACGGGACAGTAAAACACTGTCTGAAACTCCAGATGAGCATGCATACAGTTCTGCTTCTGCAGAGGATAAGGAAACAAGCTTCTGTGTTCTGCTTGCAGAATAGAGCATCATGCCTGACCAGAAAATCACAACGCAGGAAACTGATCTTCGTTTGTCTTTGTCAGAAGCCCAATCACTGTCTGTGTAGACTTCCATTGCTGATTCACCAGGTGGAAGATCATATTGATGGAAAATCCCATCACTCCTGCCCTTGGACTTCAAAGAAATGCAAACGTCTTCATGAGCAGCCAGGTATCCAACCAAGTGTTTCAACACCAGCATGCTGCGCACGGTTGGTTGTGTGCTGTAAGTGGCCAAATGCCTCACCACATGCTGACAGTGCGGCAAATCGGCCGCTAGGTAAAGCAACACCCCAACACATGTCCTGAATGCTTTGGTTCACTAGCAAGCCTTCCGTTGCTCAAGTTGTGGGTGATGCGAAGAGATAAAATCTAGATACCCAAACGGATAGGAAACAAAAAACTTATACCTTCACGCACTAAAAGCCCAAAAGGAGAAGCAGACATCAGCATGCTTTCTTTTATACGCGTGGCGAAGTTTAGTCGTCGGACTAACATACATGTTGTGTACACAGCGGTGCAAAACAACGAGATACAACCGTGTGAAAACCAACGGGAAATCACAAACGATTTAAAAGGGGTTTTTGGATAGCCAGCACCAAAACCACCACCAGAGTGAACCAACGGGAACACCCGCAGAAAAATGGAAAAGATGGTAAACCCAGCGGGGTGAAACAGGAAAAACTGGGGAACAGTATGATGTAACCCAGGAAGAAGGAGGCTGACCAGGGGATGGAGGTGGGAAAGGAAAACCAAGTAGAACAGCGGTCTACACACCACCCCAACTTGACCCAAAATGGCAGCCATAAACCGGATCACCCTTGCAAAACACAAAAAACCACGAAATTTCAGGTTAGCGATGTTTTGCAAAAACAGAGGCCGGTTTCATGAGTGAACAAAACCGATCAAGCTCGAGTACAGTTCACTAGCAAGCCTGCTCAAGTTGTGGGTGATGCGAAGAGATAAAATCTAGATACCCAAACGGATAGGAAACTCTTATACCTTCACGCACTAAAAGCCCAAAAGGAGAAGCAGACATCAGCATGCTTTCTTTTATACGCGTGGCGAAGTTTAGTCGTCGGACTAACATACATGTTGTGTACACAGCGGTGCAAAACAACGAGATACAACCGTGTGAAAACCAACGGGAAATCACAAACGATTAAAAGGGGTTTTTGGATAGCCAAATAAAATCGAAACATCGACCGAAGGATCAAAAAACCCCAAATGCATCTCGATGTTCAAAACATGTACAACGCCACACTCTTTTGGACTCAGCGGGGCAACAAGGTATGAGGAATCTTGGCTTGACTGGGTGCATGCGCTGGAGTCGAAGCGCACAACCATTTCCAAGGAATTTCAATCCGTAGTGCTGAGGGACAGCCTGGCAATTCTCGACCGCGACTAAGCGCATCAGCTTCGTCGTTCCACATGCCTGGGATGTGGTGTATGGCAATCTCGAGGTTATGAATGCGTTGAAAACGGAAGAGGGCCGCAAGAATTTGACACATGCCTGCCGAAGTAGATAATGCCTTCAGGTGTGCTGCTTCAGCTGAAGTTTTATCACATGCAAATGTGGCAGCAATAGGAGTGCGCCTCCCTTTGATAGAATGATGCAAGCAATACGCCAAAGAGAATTGGGCCAGGAGCTCCCACGCATTGATATGCTTCTGCATCGAATCTGACAACCAAGGAAAAATTTCTTGGGCTTCAGCATAATCTATAGTAAAAGCAAACCAAGCAACAAGCTCTCCATTCAAACGCAAAATACCACCTAGACCAGCATTCTTCTCAGTCGCACATGCATCAGCTGATGCTTGGACTGGCATCGATATAGGAGGAATCATGTTATGTAAGAATGGTGTACCAATAAGTACGTCCTTCCAGGCTTGAAGAGCTTCATGGGTGTCTGGCAGGACCTTGCGTTTGCTAGACCCAGGAAATTGGATACCCAGCCAGATCCTACGAGATTTGAAGTGCAGGGATTGGGCATGAGCTCGATCTCGCAAATGGAAGTTGGCCGCACGTACCACTCGCACTGATTTTCTCAAGGAGGGGTGCGCTAAACTTTTGGAAAGGATTAAGTCATCCTGCAAGGCGTCAAGAAGTTCTGCCCACTGGTGCGGCGCAATGGAAACCAAAGTAAGTGGAACCGTCATCATGGCTTGATATAATGGCCCCAGTAGTGGCCGCAATGATTCCCACAGAGATGAAACCCAGAGTAACCTGCCCGTAAGCGATTCCAGAATTTTAAGATCGCAGCGGGACACTTTCAGCAACGAGTTGATTTGGTGGAGTATTTTCTCCCGTTTTTCATTGGTGATAGATACCACCCACCGGTGGACATTGATATCCCAACCAATCCATGTGACTGATGGCCCCCATGCCGTTTTGTGCCAAGACATGGGTATGCCAAGAACCTGACAAGTGATGGTGAGAATGCCGATCCAAATCGGTGACGTAGCTGCTTCCAGCAACACCAGTAAATCATCTACATATTGGAAAAGGGCATGACGCACATGTAGGATATGGTGGAATGTTCGTACCATCAATCCAGCAACCCGAGACCAAAAATAGCCACTTGCTCGCGCACCAAAATTGAGTGTAAGGCTCTTGAACAACACATCCTGATACCAGAAACAGAGCAAGCCCTGGTCTTCTGGAGCAATTTTAATGCGGCGATGGGCTTTAGAGACGTCCAATGTAAAAGCCGTCAATTTCACACCAGAGTTGGTCGAAGGAGCAGCTTGCAATACGTCCGAAATCTTGGGCAGCAGCATTCTATTAGGAATGGAAGTGTTTTGGGTGACCCCAGAAACCGTCGAGTCAACAACAAGGCGAGGGGCCCTATTCTCGGCACATACCAAACCTAATTTGCCAACTGCAGTGTGGGCATGATCAGTTTGCAATTGGGCATGTCCACCAGGAACCTTTTCAATGAAACCAGCATCAATTTCTTCTTGAAGAAGCTGCCACACCACATCTGGCTGGTCCAAGGCACTCTTCCAAGATGATTCGCACTGGACAAGATCTTGGTCCTCTGAAATGGTGGAGGGTTGCAACGGCCACAATGGTGAAGCGGGGATGTCATTGAGAACCCCCAGGCGAACACCTGTATTCAATTCGTTCAGAAAATTGACATCTGGATCATTCATCTCGCGCAGCAGCAATTTCCAGAGCTCCAAACGGAAAGGTTGGCCTGGGGCAATATGTAAAATATCCACCCATGCAGATTGTGGCACATGCAAAAATTCCCACACATCATCAAGAAAACCCTGCAGCTGGGCATCAGATAAAGGCGCCTCTTTGGATCCAGTCGCAAAATGTGCAAGCATATGTGTATGCAAGCCAGTTCGAAGAAGTCTGGCAGTCCAACGTTTGCGCAGTCCCCCCAAAAAATCAGGGGCATGGGGAGTATGCCAAACAGCAGTGCTAATCAGGCCACCACCATCTTCAACTCGTTGGTGTTGGATTTGCGCTGGAAACTCCGGAGGCAAACAGGAAGGCCATTGATCCAGGGTAAGCACCGCAGCCCGCTTGGACAAAAACGGAGCAAAAACATTCGCCAAGGCCTCGGCCAACTGTTGCGGGTAACAAGCAGTCAACCTACTGTAAAAGGTGCCATCAGGAAGTCGCAAGCCAGCAAAATTCAAATGAGTATGAGGTGGATGTGTACAACCCAATCCAATCGCCAGGATGTCAGGTCGGTTGGAACAAAAAAGCCATGATTTTTGCCAATCTGCCCCAAACTGGCATGCTGCTGCCGCTGCAAGATATGGTGCAATAGCGCGCACCCAAGCGCTCATCAAGGAATCCAGCCAGGTCATGCTGGTCAATGGGTTCTCGATCACCACAATGCCACCCTTGGAAGCAACCAATGTTAATATGTGCCGCGCTCGGTCATGCACAGCTGCTGACTCTTGTACCTCCAGGTCTTGCAACGCAGAATTGGTTGGCAATCCATCCAGTGCAGCTGGAGTGCGGACCGGCTTAGGTCCATTAGGTCGAAGGGTAGCCATTGAATGCTTGGAGCAATAGGGAGCAGCAAGTGCTGCACCGACCAGGCCAGAGGCGGCCAGGTTTGAAACGTTCTCGAAAACAAAATCGTCAAGCAAGTCACAATGTTGACCAAAAATCAAGTCCACTGGTTCAACTGAATCTGCATGCAATGCCCTCACTGCCACTGTGACTGGTGAGGAGGCACCTGAAAAAATGTCCAAGAAAAATGCAAAAGATTGTGATGGCGGATCCACAATGTTGGCATTGGAGGCTGATACCACTGGGCTCGCCTGCACTGAAAAATCGCCTGGAGGCGGCTCCAACGACACGGGTACAGGGATCTCCACATCCTTAGGTCAGTGAGGAGCACCTTTATGCGATCTGGCCGGATGCTTCTGCGCACATGGTGATCCATCAGCCTTAGGGATCGGACAAATGTGGAGGAACCTGCATGCATCACCACTGCCACATTTTGAAACATTCCAACGCATGCAAATGCCTTTCCCATTGTGCTTGCGCACCCAGCTATCGTTCCAATCTTTCAAACGGTCATCCTTTTTGACTGGGGGCGGAGTGCCCGTCTTCTTGGGCGGTGCCTTAGGGTCAGCCTTTTTGGGAGTGACCGGTGCATGAAGAGCTCGAGGTCGAGGTTGCAGAGCTGTTTGCATATCCTGCCGGCAATATGCGATCTCTGACATGGTGTCACTCAAAGACCAACTGTTATCTCTCATAGCTGATGTGACGGCAATCCAAACCGATTTGTCAGCGGCCAAAACTTCCTGCAAGTTCGGAGCACGCAACGACGAATCAACCGGTACTCCCAAGGCAAGCTCATTGAACTTGTAGTGGAATTTCTTGACAACAATCAAGTGGACAAGCTGCAGCATCGCAAGGGCATTTGCAAGGAGGGTTTGGAAACGCAACAACACAGGCTCGACAGGGCCTCCGGAGGGCACGCTAGCTTCCGGGAAATCAAGCAGGTCTTGTTGATTCAACATTCGTTGTAGCAATTGGTGATCCGATCGTGGTTTCCTATTCTCCTGAAAAAGCATCTCTGCATGTTCTGAAATGCGGTGACGCCAAGGTGTCCAAGTCCATATACCTGCATCAATCTGGTCTTTGAGGCTAGCCAAAAACATGTAACTCGGAGTGGATTCCGGTGTCAGCAATTCACCAGGGAAATGTTCAGTGAACTTGGTCTTCAGTTCCTTGTATTCCGCCAGAGAGAGTTTGGGTTTGGTTGGGTTAGCCATGGTCGGTTCACTGGGCATCCCACCACCTTTCGATTGGCAAGCTTCAAAGCACTGCCGAAGGGCTCGGCGCAGACTAGCAGCACCTGGCGACAAAAGGTCAATGGTTTCCCCCAAGTCGCGGGGCATCAACTTCTCAATCAAATCATCAAAATGACCATCCGTAGGAACTGCAAAACCCAGGAGTGCCACCGAACGATATCCCAAATGGTCCAGGTTGGCCACCACCGGAGCTGGTACGGCACAGTCCCCCAAGAGCTTCTTCAAAGCCAGAGGGTCATCCAGAGCCAGTTGGGCCATCGTGTGACAGCTAAATAAAAGAAGGTTGAGTGAACTATCCATGCCAAAAAACATTGCAACACATGTGTATCTGCAATCGCAAAATTGGGGTTGGATCACACCAAATGCAATGCCAAACAACACACAAATCGTGCGAGCTGTGCTGAGAGCCACAAACATGCATGTCAATCAGTGGATGGACCATGACAGCGGTCACATGAGTGCACCACATGAGGACATGCAAAATGGATGAACTTCCCAGCCTGGCATTGAAAAACTGCACAGCGGTGATGTCATGCCAAATTAAACTTAAATGCACAATCCGTGGAATGTTGGCTGCCAGCGGGCATCACCTATTTTCCAAGGAAGGCCAGCCGAGAGGTCAAATGAGATACAAAAAATCCACAGATCCAGCAAAAGTGGAGTCCGGACCACACTACAGCAAAACAGGCCTAGGGCCCAGGCAGTGGCGAGATGCGGGCAATGTGCACCCCTACCAGATCGTGTAGATCCCGTGTGCCATCAGCAGCGTGACGAATGGTGCCCCAGACTGCATGCTGTCCTTTTTCTGCCAAATCATCAGCAAAATCATCAAGGAGTAGCGCTGCAGCATACAATTCGGACTGCCACAACACTGCGGTGTCATGGGAAAGGTCAGCAATGCTGTCCAAGACGGCCTTCGATGGCCTGTGGTAATCCCAGGAGCGGTAAGTGATGCCCTCCAGTCGAGCGACTTCAGACTGGAGCCCAACAACCGTCCTAGCCAGGACACAGGCCATTTTGGGCATCCATGACCAGGATCCATGAACCGAAAGGAGCTGGCATGCTCGGTTCAAGGCCTCCTTGGCGTTCTCACAACGCTGCAGCGCCTTTTCCCCTTGGGGCGCCAACCAAGCCAGCAAAAAGGTAACCGCCTGAGCGATCATTTCCGTAGAGCGGCTATTGAATGTCACCACAGAGCCAGCGGGCATGGCGACACACAGGCTGGGCATGAAATAAAATTCGAAATGTCAATGAAAAACTTGGAGACCTGACCAAATGTCTGAAGCTGGCATGGAAAGAAACCTGTAAAGCATGACTGTGGCGGTCCTCCAAACCTAAAGCCAAGCATCAGAATCCCAAGGTTGACAAAATAAAATCATGTGAAAATGAAATCAGCATGGTTTGACATGTCATGATCAAACAGCGGTGATGATCAGGCATCGAAATGTCAAGACAAATTGATTTGAAATGAAAGGATCTGCACGAAAATCGGAAACAAAAACTGAGCAAAATTCACTGCAGCAGCGGCTGTTTTCTGCGTTCAGGCAACATGTGACATGATCTTGGCACATGCCCGTCGCAGGCATAATCGGGCTCCAACCGGCAAGCAATGGGTGAATTGTAAGTCACCTGAAATTGCATTGGGGCGTGCCCCACATCCAGTTCTGTAGGCCTGCAAAGTGGTGTCTTCATAGCACCGTGCACGGTCCAAGCTGTCACATTGGATTGCCAGATGGGCAACTTTTGTAATCGGGTTCACCAAGAAAACCATTTCTTCTGGGGCCTCAGCAAGTTTCTCAGCAATGTTGGAAGGAAAGTCTTCTTCCATGGCTGACTCTTCGGATGCTTCAGAGTCCTCTGCATCAGATGGAGCCTGGGGAGCATCAGGTTCCTTGGCACGCTCCGGCATCGGGTCAGTCACAGCTGGTTGAGGTTCCACTTGAAAATGTAAAGGTTGCCAGGGAGGCAAAGTGATCGCAAAATCAGGAAGTGCAGGTGACCCTCCCCGCCGCATCGGCCGAAGTGGCCTGAAGCCTTCTGCAATGCGTTGAGCAATAGTGCCCTGAAGTACCAACGCTGGTAGGGTGTCATCCCTGCTATACAAGGACACAGAGCCATGAATCGAACTCCTGTGGTGGCCCTGGAGTTGTCTTTGCTCCCAAGGCAATTGCAGTTGTTGGGCCCAGCAAAGCAATGTTGTTTTACAGGAGTGTGTTCCCAAAAGGTGAAAATCAGAGGGCTGGGCAGGTACCTGGTGAGCTTCATGACACTTGCACAGCCAATAACGCAGCAACTGCAGACCTCTGTCACGTGGCATTGGGCGAAGGAAAACTGGCTTCAGCATGTCTGGGCCCACTTCTGTCAGCAGGAAGTCCACTTTGAATGTGGGGAAGCGCTGCTGGGTGTCATGCAACGCCTGTTGAACCACATTGAGCCACACCTGAGCCCATGCCACCTGACCGTGACGTCCCAGAAGTCCAAACGCGAAACAGGCTATAGGCATACCCCTGTTTGTCGTCTTGGTGTGGGATGCCAAAGCAAACATGGCATGCTGTTGTATTGTAAGCGTCTGGGGGTCCACCCACAATGCATCCGACCAACGCAAGCTGCTCCAGATCAAGAAAAGCAAGGACCCCAACTGTAAAACATCGCATGCAGATGTTGTTTTGGCAAGTACCATCTTTTCAAGAAAAAACACAAACGACAATGGCAGAGGGGCCGACTCACGCTTCTCCCTGATGATAGCCGAGTGCAGATAGGCCTTGCACACGGATTGCTGCAGGGCCTGAAACAAGTCATCCAGTTGTGCATATCTGGCCATCCATGTCAATCCCTTATGGTATGCAGTGGCCACACCTAAAGGGCCATGTGCATGCTCTGCCAAGAAATCGGCCAAGATCGCGGCATTCGGCTGAAAAGGGCACACTGTCAACTGACGTGCAAAATCATGCCACCTTTTCCAAATGCGAAAATAAGATTGCAGAGTGGTTGGAGCAAACTTGGAGAGCACACGAAGTCTGTGTTCTTCCACATGGTTGGACATGGCAGTTGAGTGCACCAAACCACTAGCACAGCCCATTTCCTGTAAAATGTCAAGCCACTGTTGATTGAGCGCAAGCTTAGCCTCAGACCATGCCTGGTGCATTGATGGCACAGGTCCCTGTTGTAGCTGGGTCGACAATGGGGTCCGCACCACTGGCATGTCTGAGCACATCACCCTAGAGGAAAAAGTCACTGGAGATGCCGACTTCTGAGGTTGAACTGCTAGAGGAACATTGGATTCCAATGAAGTCCTTGACTTACGAACAGCAGGAGGTGGTTTCCATAACAAGGCAGCTGGCTGAAACTCTGGTGTATGAAAAACACGCGTCCGTCTCTGAGGTGGCTGCCATGGTGCCAAGGTTGAAGAGCCAAAAAGACTTGACCTACGTCCTGCTGTTGCCAATGGGTCCAATGATCCTCCAGGTTGGTAATTAAAATCATAACTCCCAAATTCCGCCCAGCGAGGTTGAAAAGCAACATCTTGATTTGATTCAGCTGCAAAAAGATCCACAGGGTCAATTGAGCTCAGGGCATCCTGGTCCGGCCAAGACAATGCCTCAGGGGAATCCGCTCCACCTGTAACCAGTTCGAAAGAACCTGTGGATAAGCCATGCTGCGAATCTGGAGCAGGTGGTGTTTCGAGTGCCGCAGGAACATGTCTTCGAAACCGTTTGACAACACACACCGGTGCATCAATAGAATTCATAAATCCAAGACAGCACAAGAAAAACGTCGTTCCAATCATGCCATAGGAGTCAAAAACAGGGTACAAAACTGGCAATGAAAATGCTCATCCCAAAACCTGTCGAACCATGGCCAAATGAAAGGAAAACCAAGTAGAACAGCGGTCTACACACCACCCCAACTTGACCCAAAATGGCAGCCATAAACCGGATCACCCTTGCAAAACACAAAAAACCACGAAACAACAACGGCAGGTTTCAGGTTAGCGAAAATGTGTTTTGCAAAAACAGAGGCCGGTTTCATGCTAGTGAACAAAACCGATCAAGCTCGAGTACAGCGTCTTGAGGACTGATTTCACCTGACAGGTCACATTGGTCCATTTCTGCATGACCTGGTGACTTCTTTCGTTGCAAAGCTTTGTTCAAACCCAAAACATCGCACATTTGCTGCACATGCTTATGGTGAGTCTGGATGAGCAAGCGTGAGTCAGAAAGAAGCGTCATCCTCCTTTTCAGAAAATGCAGCTCATCTCCAGGCTTTGCAATCGCCTGCGTGGAAATCTCATACTTGTTTTCAAGACATGGAACAAACTTGTTGAGCACATAGTCACGCTGACCAACCACCAAAATGTCGTCCACATGAATCAAAACATAGCAAGCATTGTCTGCAGTCTTGAGCACGCATGGATATGGAGCATGGGTGAACATACCAAGTTGTTGCTTGAGAAGGTTCGTCAAATCCTGGTGCCATAGCAGGCTACCATCCCTCTGACCTGGCAGTACCTTTCCCAGTCCATAACTCAATTTTTGTCCATCTGCAAGTTGACAATTGACAATGGTTGGTCGCTGTTGCTTGACTGTCAAAAACGCGTCCTTCACATCGATGCTCAACATTATGCTATTGCTGTGCTGCTTCATGTCCAAGTACATGGCTGGCAAAACTCTTGCTGCTATGCTGCTCCTACCTGTTCACTTTCCATCCATGCAAACTCTCTTGCAACAAAACGTGATCTCCTCAGCCAGATGGGCTTGTTGTCTTTGCCCAATTTCTCTCGCCATGTACGCACAAACCTCGTTGAAAGAACTTTTGCATCTGTCGGCATGGAACTGGCATCTGTTAACACCTCCATCTTGCTCAGGCGTTTCAACTCCAGGGCATCTGCGATGGTGTCCAAACGCAATAGTTCAGTTTCCGACAAACAAGGTTCATGTGCACTGAAAGGAAAAGTAAGTTCTTGCAGGGATGCGTCATCATCTGATTCTACGCCTGCATAGTAATCCTCATCATCAAAGTTCATGTCATACTTTTCCAATTCATCAAGATCGTCTTGTTGAAAAGAGAAGGCAACTGGATTGTCTTCATGCTCGTACAAAGACAGGTCTGTGCTTGTCACTTGGCTCACCTGTTTCTTGGAGGAGTCATCTGAAAGCTTTGGTGTCTTTGGCACATGTTGGGTCTCTGTATCGTCCAACAGAAACGTTGACTCAAGCAAAGAAAAAGCAGAATCAGCAAACTTGGCACGTTTAGGGGAT